AGGCTTAACAACTTCTGTGGGTGTGTACTCCACGCCAGTGTAGTCGCCACGGTCGTCCGCAGGCCACGAAGTGAAGTGTCCCAACGTCATAGGGCGGGAAGCTGGGTGTGGGTGGTGGCGAAGAGTCGTGTGGCTATTTGGTAGAGCTTGCACTGCCCCCCCACAAAGTGGGGGTATTGGCTGGCGTCGCATGAAAACCCTGGCACTGGTGAGAACACTGAGCGTTCGGGTAAAGTGATTGTTGTAGTTGTTGTCGTTGTTGTTGTTGAACATTATTACTTCTAAAGAATAATTATTGTTGGGGCCCCTGGTGCGCGGCCCCCCCGCCGCGCCTAGGCCGCAGCCACATTTTCATCATTTTCGTGAGGAAGTCTCAGGCAAAACGGGTTGGTCCGGATCCGGTTGTTTTGTTACGGCCCGCTTTCCCTTGCAACAAATAAGCTAAAGTGGACATTTCTTGTTCTAACATAACCAAACTTCAAGAATCCCTTGCAAAAAATAAGGTAAAGTGGACATTCGCGCGCGCAAGACGAAATCCTTCCAAAACCTTAGTTTTCGTAGCGCTTTTAACATAAAAACATCAAAAAAACAATGGTTTTTCAAACAAAAATTGTCAAAATTTCATCCCGCGCGCTCTTGCGGATTCGTAGGAAACCCAACACTTTTTAAACATTTCTGTCAAACGGGCTTTTGCTAGCAACTTTTTCGAACTTCAGCAACAACGGTTGCGCACCTGCCAGGGCCATCATCCCTGTCAAATAATACCATGCGGGACACATTCGTTTTTTCTTCGCGCGCGCACGCCGTCGTCGTCGGCCGCGGGGCACTGAATAGTAGCCACGGTCGTCCGCATGCCACGAAGTGAAGTGTCCGAACGTCATAGGGCGGGAAGCTGGGTGTGGGTGGTGGCGAAGAGTCGTTGGAAATTTGGTAGAGCTTGAACCGGCCCCCCCACAAAGTGGGGGTATTGCCCGCCTCCTATGAAAACCCTGGCACTGGTGAGAACGGAGTGTCCCCAGTCTTAAATGATTGTTGTTGTTGTTGTTGTTGTCGTTGTCGTTGTCGTTGTCGTTGTCGTTGTCGTTGTTGTTGTTGTTGTTGTTGTTGTTGTTGTTGTTGTTGCTTGTTGCTTGTTGCTTGTTGCTTGTTGCTTGTTGCTTGTTGCTTGTTGTTGTTGTTGTTGTTGTTGTTGTTGTTGTTGTTGTTGTTGTTGTTGTTGTTTGTTTTCGAAAGCCACGGTGCCACGAGGAACGCCGAACAAGGAACGGGGGGCTCTCCCGGCCGCGGCGAGCCTCGGCCACGACTAAGGTTTCCCCCGACCTACATCCCAGGGAGCGGCCCGACCATCAGAGGCCCGCCGGAGCCCGAAGTGGTCCTCATCTCAGTGCCTTGGCTGCACCAGGGAGCCGCAAGTCCACCCCGATGCCAAACATCCCGAGAAGCGAGGCCGTTCGGCAAACGCACCCAAAGGGAAGGGATCGAGCAGGTCAGGGCTGTCCCGTAAGCGCCCGAGGCCGCTCCGCAAACGCCGGTGATCGGGGTCGGGGTGGTTTTTTCCTCCCTTGACTGAAGGGGCCCTGGGACACACAAATAAATACACACAAACAAAATGATTCCCCATATTTTCACATATTTTCGTTTTTTTTCCCTTCCCGCCCAATTCCCATATTTTCCCATATTTTCTTGGGGATCGACGATTAATTGTGTCTGTGTGTTTTTTCCCTCCTGATTGACGCAGGGCCTGAGGCCTGGGATGCGCCGGGCCCCGCGCGCCGCCTCGCAGGCCTCCTGCTGCACGCCTCCGGCGGGCCCTCCTGCTGCGCGAAGGCCGCCCCTGCCATGCCAGCGCGCGCCCAGGAGTCAGGAGCGGGGGGAGGCAGGGGAAGCATGACGAGCGAGCGGAAACATGCCGATCGCGCAAGCTTGGCACGGCAATCTCCTTCTGAATCATCCGCGCCTCGAATAAGCCACGGCCTCCTCGACGATCTGCGTGCTGGATGTCGGGATGATCGCGCGGCCACCAGAATCGTGAGTGGGGCCCAGAGACCGCCACGCCGCTGGCGGTGGCCCGCCAGGAAGTCGTGCCCTCGCCCGAAGCTGCCTCCGCTTCTTCATCAACGCCCTGCCCCAGCAGGCGTCAGCGCGGTGCCTGGGGAGCCATGGGCCCGCCCTGCGCCAGCTGGTCCTGCCTCTCCGCGTCCCGCCAGGGCACGCTGCAGGTCACGAGCCTGCCCGAAGCTGTCTCCGCTTCTCCATCAGCACCCTGCCCACCAGGTTCTGGCCCTCTCCGCCCCCTGCGCCCCAGAAGCGCTCGCCCTCCGCCCCCTCGAGGAGGATCTGCGCCTCGCCCGTGGCGAGCAGCACCTGCGCGAGCACGGGGTGCTGGTCGATGGCCGAGCAGATCGCGTGCCGCATGGCGCGGACTGCGAAGCCGCTCTCCCAGTCGCCCCGCACGGCGCCGCGCAGCCGCGCATCGTCCAGGAGCGCGCGCAGCTGCTCCGGGCGGCGCCCGAGTGGCGCCGCCGCCGCCACCGCGCGGCACTCGGGCTCCGAGAACTGGTGCGCGAAGAAGAGGTGGTAGGGGGAGCTCCAGACCGACCGCTGGTCGGGGAACATCACGGGCACCTGCGCGGGGGCCCCGGGACACGCAAATAAAGAAAGACACACAAATAACAGGGTTCCCCACATTTTCACATATTTTCTGGGTTACTGCCTTCCCCCCCGCGTCCCACATTTTCGCATCTTTTCCTGGGAAGCGACGATTCATCGTGTCTGTGTGTTCTTTTCCCACTCCTGAATTCCTGCGCGGCGGGCGAGAGCTCCGCGAAGGGGCCGCCGCCGCCGACCACGACGCGGCCCGCGCCCGCCGGGGGGGCCAGCCGCGCCGCGCTGGTGGGGAACAGCCGCCGCTGGCACGCGGGGCACGTGCCCCAGTAGGAGAATCGGGCCGGGCGAGAGGGGGGGATCGCAAAGGGGGGGGGGTGAGAATCAGCTCAGGTAGCTGATTTTCCCCGCGCCTCCCGGGGCCGGGAGGCGCCCAAGTATATCGAGGAATGGGCCCGGCGGCGGGGCCGAAATCAGCTGCATGCAGCAGATTTCGCACCCCCCCCTTTCCCTATCCCCCCCTTTCGCCCGGCCCGAGAGAACTCGATCTCGGCGGCGGCGGAGCCGAAGTCCGCGGGCGTCGGCCGGGCGCCGCAGCCGGCGGCGCAGGCGCTCGCGCCGGGGCGGTGCGCTGGGCGGGGCAGCACGCCGGGGGGTCGGCGCCCCTCGGGCCACGCGCGCGCAGGGACCGCTGGCGGGCCGGCCTCCTCTCGGGAGGGCGTAAAGAGTAGGTCGGGCATGTCCTCCTGCGGGCGGATTGTGGGCGACGGTTCAAACATAACATACTCAAATATATGGCCAAAAAACAATAGAAAGCTCGCCCCCCCCAGCACATGATTGCACTATTTTGGAATATTCCTCCTGCAGAGGGACATGCTCGACTTAAACGTACGTAAGACTCGGGTTCGGGGGACTCGGGTTGGACTGACGGGGCCATCATGAAAATGACAAGAGCCAGTCTGAAACTTGACGCGAGCTCCCGCTGCAGACGTGCCACGAAAACTGGACCGCCCAAGCCCAGGACGGGCTCGCCAAAAAGCGTCGGCCAACCCGAGTTCCGGCAAACTCGAGTCTTACCAGGGGAACGAAAAATGACATAAACACAAAGACTCGGAGGTCCGCGCGGATTTCTCGGATCGGCGCTGGGGCCCCCCGGCGGCGCCTCCGGCGCCGCCTTGGCGCGCTCCGCGCGCCAGGAGAGGGGGTCCAGCGCCGATCCGAGAAATCCGCGCGGACCTCAGAGTCTTTATGTTAAAGCCACTTATTGTGCCCCTACTTACGCTCCCGTGATCCTTGCCGCCAGCCGCCGCTGCCAGCCGCGGCGCCGGCTGCGTGGCATCTTCCAGGCCGCCAGCAGCGCGCGGGGCGCCCGCCGCAGGCGGGCGGCGCCCGAGGCCCCGCGGGGCGGGCCGCGGCCGCGGCCCTCGCCCCGCGGGGGGCCCGCCGCGCGCCGGCGGGCGCCGCGGCGGGCGGACGCCCCCGGCGGCGCTCGGCGAGCCAGTCCTCCAGCCTGCCGCAGACGCGCCCCAGGGCCTCCTCGAAGCCGCGGAGCGCGAGCGCCGCGCCGCCGTCGGGCCCCCCCGTCTCCGCGCGTCCCCCGCCGCCCGCCGCGCCTGCGGGCTCTGCCTGCCGATCCCGTGCCGCTGCCGGCTCCGTGCGCCCCGGGAAGAACCCAGGAACGAGCTCGCGCGCTCGCCTCTCCGCCTCCTCCCGGACCTTCCGCGCCGCCCTGTCTGGAGCCCGCGGGTTCGCCTCCTCGTGCGCTCGCCTCATCACCTCTTGCTGTGCTTTCCGCGTCGCCTCCACCTGGGCCACCCTGGTTGTCTCTTCGGCCGCTCGTCTCTCGGCCACCTCCTGTGCCTTCTGCGCCGCCGCCTCCTGCGATTGCCAGTCTGCCTCCTCGCGAGCTCGCCTCTCCGCCTCTTCTTGTGCCTTCCGCGCCGCCTCCTCCTGGGCCCGCTGGGCCGCCTCCTCGTGCGCTCGCCTTCTCGCCTTTTCCTCTGCCTCACGGATCGCCTCTAGTTGCGCTCGCCTCTCTGCCTCCTCGCGGGCTCGCCTCTCCGCCTCCTCCTGTGCCTTCTGCGCCGCCTCCTCCCGGGCCCTCCGGTCCGCTTCCTCGCGGGCTCGCCTCTCCGCCTCCTCCTGTGCCTTCTGCGCCGCCTCCTCCCGGGCCCTCCGGTCCGCCGCCTCGCGGGCTCGTCTCTCCGCCTCCTCCTGTGCCTTCTGCGCCGCCTCCACCCGGGCCCGCTGGTCCGCCTCCTCGCGAGCTCGCCTCTCCGCCTCTTCTTGTGCCTTCTGCGCCGCCTCCGCCTGCACCCGCTGGTCCGCCTCCTCGCGCGCTCGCCTCTCCGCCTCCTCTTGTGCCTTCTGCGCCGCCTCCGCCTGCACCCGCTGGTCCGCCTCCTCGCGAGCTCGCCTCTCCGCCTCTCTTGTGCCTTCTGCGCCGCCTCCGCCTGCACCCGCCTTCTGCCTCCGCCTCGCTGGTCCGCCTCCTCGCCTCTCCGCCTCCTCTTGTGCCTTCTGCGCCGCTCCTCCTGGGCCCGCTGGTCCGCCTCCTCCGCGCTCGCCTCTCCGCCTCCTCTTGTGCCTTCTGCGCCGCCTCCTCCTGGGCCCGCTGATCCGCCTCCTCGCGAGCTCGCCTCTCCGCCTCTTCTTGTGCCTTCTGCGCCGCCTCCGCCTGCACCCGCTGGTCCGCCTCCTCGCGCGCTCGCCTCTCCGCCTCCTCTTGTGCCTTCTGCGCCGCCTCCCCCCGCTGGTCCGCCTCCTCGCGAGCTCGCCTCTCCGCCTCTTCTTGTGCCTTCTGCGCCGCCTCCGCCTGCACCCGCTGGTCCGCCTCCTCGCGCGCTCGCCTCTCCGCCTCCTCTTGTGCCTTCTGCGCCGCCTCCTCCTGGGCCCGCTGGTCCGCCTCCTCGCGAGCTCGCCTCTCCGCCTCTTCTTGTGCCTTCTGCGCCGCCTCCGCCTGCACCCGCTGGTCCGCCAACTCGCGCGCTCGCCTATCCGCCTCCTCTTGTGCCTTCTGCGCCGCCTCCTCCTGGGCCCGCTGGTCCGCCTCCTCGCGAGCTCGCCTCTCCGCCTCTTCTTGTGCCTTCTGCGCCGCCTCCGCCTGCACGCGCTGGTCCGCCTCCTCGCGCGCTCGCCTCTCCGCCTCCTTTTGTGCCTTCTGCGCCGCCTCCTCCTGGGCCCGCTGGTCCGCCTTCTCGCGAGCTCGCCTCTCCGCCTCTTCTTGTGCCTTCTGCGCCGCCTCCGCCTGCACCCGCTGGTCCGCCTCCTCGCGCGCTCGCCTCTCCGCCTCCTCTTGTGCCTTCTGCGCACGCTGGTCTGCCTCCTCGCGAGCTCGCCACTCCGCTCTTCTTGTGCCTTCTGCGCCCGCCTCCGCGCTCCGCTCTCGTCCGCTCTGCCTTCTGCGCCGCCTCCGCCTGCACCCGCTGGTCCGCTCCTCGCGAGCTCGCCTCTCCGCCTCTTCTTGTGCCTTCTGCGCCGCCTCCGCCTGCACCCGCTGGTCCGCCTCCTCGCGCGCTCGCCTCTCCGCCTCCTCTTGTGCCTTCTGCGCCGCCTCCGCCTGCACCCGCTGGTCCGCCTCCTCGCGAGCTCGCCTCTCCGCCTCTTCTTGTGCCTTCTGCGCCGCCTCCGCCTGCACCCGCTGGTCCGCCTCCTCGCGCGCTCGCCTCTCCGCCTCCTCTTGTGCCTTTTGCGCCGCCTCCTCCTGGGCCCGCTGGTCCGCCTCCTCGCGAGCTCGCCTCTCCGCCTTTTCTTGTGCCTTCTGCGCCGCCTCCTCCTGGGCCTGCTTTGTCGCCTCCTCCTTGACCCGCTTGTCCGCCTCCTCGCGCGCTCGCCTCTCCGCCTCGTGCTCTTGCTTTCGCGCCGTCTCCTCCTGGGCCCGCCTCCCTGCCTCTTCCCGTGCCTTCTGCGCCGCCTCCTCCTCCTCCTCCTCCTCCTCCTCCTCCTCCTCCTCCTCCTCCTCCTTCTCCTTGGTCTGCAGGTTTGCACCCTCGCGCGCTCGCCTCTCGTCTTCTGGAACGCGTCGCGCCGCCTCCTTCGGGAGTGCCGCTCCCTCCTGGCTTGGGTGCTCTGAACAATGTGTGCTGTGCCTCGCGGCGAGGGGCCAGGAAGAGGGGGGCGAGGGGGACGAGAGGGATGCCCTCTGACCTCGGCGAGGCTTTGCGATCGGAGCAGGCCCGCACCAAGACCACGCCCGAAAGTCACGCCAAAGCTGACCCACAGCCTGAGCCCGCTGTCCCCTGCCCCTCCCCTGTGCCAGCCCTGTCCTGCCCTCCCCTCCGCGCCCTGCCCTCTCTCAGGCGGATGGCAAGAGGAGGGGGGGGCAGCCCTCCACCTTGGTGTGCCGCCGCGGCCCACTGGTCTTTCCTTTGCCGCGCCCCCCGCGATGCCGCAGCCAGGGCCTCCCCAGTGCGTCGAGGCCAACAGGCGTCCACTATGGTTAGGTCGGGCCTGTCCTCCTACAGGCGGATTTTGGACGAGAAACAAGCATAGGCCCAAGTTGGTCAAAAATCATAGAAAATCGCCCCCAGACTATTTGTTATCTAACAATTTCCACATGTTCCTCCTGTAGAGGGACATGCCCGACTTACACACTATGGCCCTCTGGCGGCACGGTGGGAACTTTCAGTGGTGCTGCCCGTGCCTCTCGCATCGCCCCCTCCTTCGGGCGTGGTCAGCGTGTCCCCTTCCGTCACGACCCCCCTTCCAGAACGACGCCCTCGCCTCGCTCCAAACTGGGGGTTTGGACGCCCGAGATGGGCACGGAAACCATGGGCACCATGCCTAACAGCAAATGTTGTCCCGAACCAACAGCGGCCGCTGTTTGGCAGGCGGCCTTCTGTCTCAAATAGACACAATCTGTGGCGACGCCGACAGCGAATCGGGTCCAAACTGAACAAGAACTGCTGTTGGTCTCTGTACCCATTCTTTCCGTACCCATGTCGGTCGTCCCGAGGGGGGACCTGGCCAGAGGGGTGCCTTCAGCGTCAGCAGGAGGCGCCGATGGCTTGCCAAGTGGGCACTTCCCAGACCACCGACAGCTCGACCTGTTCGAGCCGCTGGCCCCGTGGAGGGCGCGGAGGAGGAGGAGGAGGAGGAGGAGGAGGAGGAGGAGGAGGAGGAGGAGGAGGAGGAGGAGGAGGAGGAGGAGGAGGAGGAGGAGGAGGAGGAGGAGGGGGGGTGGAGGAGACCCCTTTCCAGACATGCGGCGTCTAGACTTTCTCCATACGGGGCCCCCAGAAGTCCCGACCCCGAGTGGTTCGTCGTTCTTGACGGTGTTTCATCCCGAGTCGCTTCTGACCCCCGAGTCTTTCATCCCGAGTCGTTTTTTTGACGGTCCCGGGGGACCGGCGGGGGCCCTCGGAGGCCGAACGCGGCCAAGAGGCGCCCTGTCGTGTTTTTTTTTTTTTTGTTAGCACGACGCGGCCATGTCTGGGTGCTTCCCCTGGGGCCGACTTTTTGGACGCCCGAAACGCGTGTACGGAAGAAATGGTTACAGTGTCCAACAACAGATGTTGCCCCAAACCAGCAGCGGCCGCTGTTGGGCAGACGGCCGTCTGCCTCCAGAGGACACAGGGCGCGGCGGCGCGGACAGCGAGTCCTGCTCACAGCGAACAGGAACTGTTGTTGGGCATTGTGCCCATTCTTCCCGTACCCACTTCGGTCGCCCCGAGACTTCACGGTCCGGGGGCACGACTTGCCACCGCTCGGACGTCCATTCCCCGTGTCTTCTTCGGTTTCGTGCGTTTTTTTTGGGGGGGGGGCTCGATGGTGCAGGATGGTCCTCCATGGTCCCCGCCGAAAAAAAAACGCGCACGTCCGAGCGATGCCAGGACGAAGCAGCAGCACCAGCGGACGGGGGACGGCGGCCGAAGCGCCGCGGCGCGGCCTGCCCAGCCGGCGGCCTCGCGGGCAGCGCCCCAGCCCCCAGGGGCGGCCCTCGCGCCGCGGGCGAGGCGGGCCGACCTAAAGCCCTCGCCGCGACGAGCCTCTGGCGCTCCCGGCGGCCCCGCGCCACGGCCTGGATCTTGGCGGCCGCCTCGCTGCGCGCGGCCTGCTCCGCCCTCGTGCTCGGCGGCGTGTGGTGGAGCTCTCGGTGCACGGCCTCCCGCTCCTCGGCGCTCAGCAGCGAGGACTGGCGCCCAGGGCCGCCGAGGAACGCCGCCTCGCCGAAGAAGCCGCCGCCGCCGCCGCCGCCCGCCGCGGCCGCTGCCGTCGCAGCTGAGGGCTTGGCGGCGCCGACGCGGACGCCGCCACCGATGCTGACGCCCACGCGCGAGCCTCGGCCCGGCTGCGCCGGCGACAGGGCGACCCTGGAGGGCCTCTGGAGCGACGCGCCCGGCTGCGCCGGTGACAGGGCGACGGGGCCGGCGTCCTGCCGCGAGAGGGCGATCCTGGCAGGCTGCGGCGGGGCCCCGGGCCGCGCCGGCGACAGGGCGACCCCGCGGGGTGCAGCTCCGGGCTGCGCCGGGGACAGGGCGACCCCGGAGGGCCGCGGGGAGGCGCCCGCCTGCGCTGGGGGCCGTGCTGCGACGCCCGAGGGCCGCGGGGAAGCGCCCGCCCGCGCCGGGGACAGGGCGACCCCGACCCCGGAGGGCCGCGGGGAAGCGCCCGCCCGCGCCGGGGACAGGGCGACCCCGACCCCGGAGGGCCGCGGGGAAGCGCCCGCCCGCGCCGGGGACAGGGCGACCCCGACCCCGGAGGGCCGCGGGGAGGTGCTCGGCTGCGCCGAGGACAGGCCGCCTGGCTGCGCCGGCGAGCGACGCTGCGGAGGAGCGGAAGCGGGCCTCGGCAGGCCGGGCGGAGGGGACTGCGGAGGGGCTCCGCTGTTTGGGCCAGGAGCCCTTCTGCCTCTTCGCTGCTGCTGGTCCTGCTGCTGCCGCTCCTGGTCCTCCCCTCCTCCTCCTCCTCCTCCGCCTCCTCCTCCTCCTCCTCCTCCTCCACCTCCTCCTCCTCCTCCTTCTCGATCTCCCTTCGCTGCTGGTGCAGATGCTGCCTTCTCCCCTTTCTAAATCTTGCCCTGCGCCTCCCTCGAGGACCGAAATCCTTCCCGGACGGTTACTGGATGTTTTCGGCCCCTGTCGGGCCTCCGTGGACCTCCAGGGACCTTTGGGGACCTCCGGGTACTTCTGGGGACCTCAGGGGGTAAGGATCCATCGCGGGAGCCAAACTTACCACTCCTCCGAGTCCTGGCCAGCACTCCATCTCGGAGTCGAGGCCAACGGGTCTGAGGCCGACCGCTGGGCTCACAGCACCGCTCCCTCACGATGGTGTGCTACTGTAATCATGTCTGCACGGTCTTGCTTCTCTCGTTCCTTCCGCCCTCCTCCTTCATTCCATTTCCTTCATGAATAACTCCTCCCCGTCGCACCCCGAGTCCATTCGGAATGGCGGGCCGGGCGTTTCGCCTGAGACTTCCTTATCACTTATGAACCTGAAGCTTAAAAACTGGCATCAGCTTCACAGAAGGAGGGCGGGCCGCTTCCAAACTGTGGCTCTCGCCTTCGCGCCGCGTGCAGTCATTTAAACCATTCCAAGGTTTCGACGGACTGAGGACAGGTCGTCCTGAACATGTGGCTCTCGCCTTGGCGCCACTCGCACTCGGTTTCAATATGTGCACGAGTTTCACGGATTGGGGGCGGGTCGATCTCAAAATTTGGCTTTCGCCTTCGCGCCACCCATACTCGTCTTAAACATTCGCAAGAGCTTCACGCATTGAGGGCGGTCCCCCTTCAAAATGTGGCTCTTGCTTCAGCGCCGCTCATGCTCGTCTTAAACAGTTTCCAGAGCTTCACGCATTGAGGGCGGTCCCCCTTCAAAATGTGGCTCTCGCTTCAGCGCCGCGTGCATTCGTTTTGAATCATTGCAACAGTTTCACTGGTTCTCGTGGTTGACGTCCCAGAAACGGTGTATAGGAGCGAGTCAGGGTTGTCAAGGCGCAACAATTATGTTGATTCGCGGTGTGGAAGTCCCGGGAAAAGTGTTCTGGCACGACCCAGGATCGTCAAGACGCAGCAGTCAAGTTGACTCGTGGCGTTGAAGTCCTGGAAATGGTGTCTTGGCGCGATTTGACATTATTTTCACACTGTTGTCCCCCAACGAGGCGCTTTCCTAAGTGGAAATGAACCCTTATAGGGACCTATGAAGAGGGAGCTTGGAGGGATGCTGTATTCCAACATCGTTGATGCGTCTTGGGTTTGCACTGGTCATTCTCCTCCTCCTCCTCCTCCTCCTTCTCCCCCGCATCGTCGACTCATCCGCGCATGCATGCGCGTGCACGGACACACGCACAAACACGCGCAGGCGGATGCAAGCACACTCTCACGTGCAAAGATGAAGCGCGCGCGCAGACAACCGAACACGTGCTGCCCCCCAATGCCCCCTCCCCACTGATACTCTTCCCGCCGTGCCTGCTCCAGAGGGGAGGAGAAGGAGCAGGATGAACACGTAGGAGGACGGAGGAAGGAGGAGGGATGAGGGTGTGCCCCCCGACGCCCAGCACTCCGCGCAAGATCCCGTTCGGTGCGCCCCCAGTGCCCCCGTCCGTTCCCTTCCAGACTCGCTCCGTCTGCCCGTCTGCACTCCTGCCTGCCCGCGTCCGTCTCAGTTTGTCGTTCCGTCCGCCCATCCGTCCGCCTGTCCTTCCCTGCCTGTCCATGTGTGTCTGTCACGAAATTGCCCTGGCGCGCAGACCCCCAGGTATGGCTTGCGCCATCCTTCCCTGCCTGTCTTAACTGTCCTTCCCCTGCCTGTCCGCGTGTCTACCTGCCCATCATGTCTGCCTCTTGCTGTCTTTTCTGTCTGGGCGTCTGCCCGTGAAGATCTGCTGGTCCAGACTTCCGTCCGTGCTCCCGCCTCTGCTTCTGCTTGCCGATCTCAATGCTTTGCCTCTGCGCTCTCCTGTCTGCCTGCCCGTCTCTGCCCCTCCCTGTCCGCCTGCCTCTGCTGCTCTGGCTCCTTGGGCTGCCTGTCGGCCCATCCGTCCGCTTCTGTCTGTCGCCGAGGAGTGGCAGGAGGAACCTGATGCAGGGGAACTGGGACACACAAATAAATCGACACAACTAACCAGATTCCCCATATTTTCCCATCTGTTCTGGGTTTCTGTCTTCCCCCCACTTCCCATATGTTCCCAGATTTTCTGGGGACTCGACGACTCATTGTGTCTGTGTGTTGTTTTCCTCCTGACATGAGTGCGGTACGTGGCCGACTCCACCGAGCTCACCGGGCCTCTGGGCGAAGGTGGATTGCGTAACGTCCCGGCTCTCCCCGAACGGCCTCTCGTGTGCACTCGAGATAGCCGGCAATCGCACTCATTGGCGGCTGCCACCAGCCAACCGCGGCTGGGCCTCTTCACTGGAGGTGGGAGCCCTCCAGTGGCTGGCCGGGATCTATGTTTTCGCCCGGGTTGGCTTTCGCCCGGTTCGTTTCGCCCAAATTGGCTTTCGCCGGGCCCGCTTTCGCCCGGGTTCGCTTTCGCCCGGGTCAGCTTTCGCCCGGGTTGGCTTTCGCACGGATTGGCTTTCGCACGGTTGGCTTTCGCCTGGGTTGGCTTTCGCCCGGGTTGGCTTTCGCCTGGCTTTCGCCCGGGCTGGTCTCTCGCCCGGGATGGCCGTCGCTTGGATTATTTTTTGCCATCATCCTCCTCTCCTCCTTTTGCTCCTGTCCTTTTATGCTGCTGCTGCTGCTCCTTTTCCTCCTCTCTTCCTCTGGCTCCTCTTGCCCGCGGCCGGTTTGCTGGAGCTCCGTTGCGTTCCCGAAGCAGCCATGGAAATACAACCCCCTGCCTTCTTCACAGACGGCCTGACCTACACACTCACACCGCCCTTACTCAGGCCCCCCCGAGGCCCAGGGTGAGCCAATGCTACGTGCCCCCCTGGCAAAGCCAGTCGCGTGCTCACTCGAGCGCGCCCCACATTTTAGCGTCCCGCCCGACCCGACCCACCCGTTTGGGCTCACGCGTGCTCACTCTTTAGTGCCCCGCCCGCCCGACCCGACCCGCCCGTTAAGGTCCGCCCGACCCGACCCGACCCGCCCCGCCCGTTATAGGTCCGCTCGCCCGATCCGATCCGCCCGTTCGGTTCATGCGTGCTCGCTCCGGCGCGCCCCACACTTTAGTGTCCCGCCTGCCCGACCCGCCCATTAAGGTTTGCCCGACCCGACACGATCCGCCCCGCCCGACAGGGTCCACCCGCCCGCCCCGACCCGCCCGTTCGGTTCACGCGTACTCGTTCCGGCGCGCCCCACACCTTCGGTTCCCGCCTGCCCGACCCGACCCGCCTGTTAGGGTCCGCCCGACCCGACCTGACTCGTCCCGCCCGTTAGGGTCCGCAGGCCCGAGCCGACCCGCCTGTTAGGGTTCACGCGTGCTCGCTCCAGCGTGCCCCACACTTTAGTGTCCCGCACGCTCGATCCGACCCGCCCGCTAGGGTTCGACCGACCTGACCCGATCCATCCCGCCCGTTGGGTCCGAGAGCCCGACCCGATCCGCCCGTTAGGGTTCACGGTGCTCGCTTCGGCGCGCCCCACACTTTTGTGTCCCGCCCGCCCGATCCGACCCGCCCGTTAAAGTTCACGCGTGCTCACTCCAGCGTGCCTCACATCTTAGTGCTCCGCCCGCCCGACCCGACCCGCCCGTTAGGCTCCGCCCGACCCGACCCGACCCGTCCCGCCCGTTGGGGTCCGCCCGCCCGACCGGGCCCGCCCGTTGGAGCCCGCGCCCAACCCTGGCGAAAGTCAACCCGGGCGAAACGAAGCCCGGTGAAAGCCAACCCCGGCGAAAGCCAACCCCGGCGAAAGCCCGGGCGAAACGAAGCCCGGCGAAAGCCAACTCCGGCGAAACCCAAGTCCGGCGAAAGCCGACAACCCCGACGAAAGCCAACTCCGGCGAAACGCAGCCCGGCGAAACGAAGCCCGGCGGAAGCCAGCTCCGCGCGAAAAGCATCCGTGCCTCCCCAACCCAACCCGAAGACCCGAATTTCGGGTTGGGGGGGGGGGGTATGGGCTCCATATGTGTTCTTTCGATGTTCCCGGACCCCCCCCCACTGGAAATGGAGGGCAACATGAGGCCTTCGGGTTGGGTTGGGGTGGTTCGGTGGGTGGCGACTGGCCGACCCCCGAACCCCCGAATCCAGCGAAAGCCAACTCCGGCGAAAACCAACTTCAGCGAAAGCCAACCCCGACGAAAGCCAACTCCGGCGAAACGAAGCCCGGCTTCGAAGCCAGCTCCGCGCGGAAAGCGTCCGTGCCGGCTGGCCGACCACCGAACAACCCCGAAGCCAGAGCACGTGAGCGCATCCCGTGTGCCCCCGCCGCCTTCCGCCAGCCTCTCCACTGGCGGCCCCGCCGCCTGTGTTTGAGGGGGCCCTGGGACACACACATAAGTACACACACAAATGACAGGATCCCCCATATTTTCCCACATTTTCTGGGCTTCTCTGCCTTCCCCCCCCCCACTGCCCAATCTTCCCATATCCTCGGGGGAATCGAGGATTCATTGTGACTGTGTGTTTCTTCTCCTCCTGAGTGTTTGGGCGCCCGAGTTATCCGGGGTAACTCGGGTCCGGGGTAACTCGGGTTTGGATTCCCGAAAAAGGAACCCGCGTTAGCCCTGACCCGAGTTACCCCTGATGATTCGGGGCTCTGGACGCCCGAGTTATCCGGGGTAACTCGGGTCCGGGGTAACTCGGGTTCGGATTCCCGAAAAACGAACCCGAGTTATCCCTGACCCGAGTTACCCCAAATGATTCGGGGCTCTGACTGAGTGTTGCCTCCGCGGGCCTCCGTCGACGAGAGGAGGCGCCCCCAAGGGCGGGGCCCCTGCCGGCGCGCCCTGCCGGGGGGGGGGGGGGGGGCGCGGGGGGGCGGCGAGCAGCAGCTCCCCTGCCAAACGACGCGCGCCCGCCGCGGGCACCTGCTCACATCTTTGAAAGAGGCCCACAGACACACAAAGAAATACACACAAAGAAAAAGATCCCCCATATGTTCCGATATTTTCTGGGCTTTTGTCTTCCCCCCCCACTTCCCCCATATTTTCCCATATTTTCCTGGGGATCGACGATTCATTGTGTCTGTGTGTTTCTTCCCCTCCTGAATCTTGCCGGCCTCGGGGGCGAAGATGGGGCCGAAGGGCCCAGGGGCGGGCACGCCATATGGAGGGAGCCTCGCCGAAGACTCGGTCCAGCGGCACCCGTGGACGCATCCCTGCTGGGAGTTCAGAGCATCTTGCGCTAAGAAGATGGCCTTCGCTCCAACCGTGTCCTTAAAACAGCAGTCGAGGTCCAGAGGCACAACGGTTTTACGAGAAACAAAGCTCCAAGAGAACGCCCCGGTCCCAGTCCAGATCCTTGATTCGGCGAGCGAAACCTGGACTTCACGAAAGCTGTCGCGTTTTCTTGAAATGTCTGATGGGTGTGCATATACTGCCTCCCCTCCGGGCTACAGTCGGGGCGTTGACCTAAGGAACCCTGAATAAGGAACGAGGCCCCCTTTTTCCATAAGTTAAACGCCGACTTCCCATCGAAAGCATCAGGAAAACCGGAGGCAAGCTGCGAAACAATCAAGGAACACGGAGCCCCTCCCCAGCGAAAAGGGTTCCTTCTTCAGCGCCCCGATTGTATTCGCCCCCGACCGTCGCCTCCGACAACCGCTCGCTTTCGGCCGGCCGGCGGCCCTGCAGCGCGGGCTGCGCCGGCAGCGGAGGCACTGCCGGCGCCCGGCGGCTGGAGCTGCACCTCGGCGTGTGGCCGATCGCTCGGCCACCCACGCCCAAGGGCACCTAACTTCGCGCTCTCGCGCCGCCCCCCAGGGGAGGAGAAGAGGATTTCTTTTTTTCTCTCCCCACAGCCAGGAGGACGCCGACCCACACAGCAGACCAATGGCAACCTCACCGTGCCCGCGAGGTGGACCCCGAGGTCCGGCCAGAACGACCCCGCGGACAGCCAATCGTGTCGGCCACGCCCGATACTGGGTGAAACGTTTTTTTTCCCGCGCAGCGAATGGCCAGAAAATGTTGAATGCCTTAAGTGATCCACACTCCGTCTGCCAACAGAATCTGGTAAATGAGTCCTCTGGTGTGGTTCCCAGGGCCACGGACAGCGCCAACAAAGTCCGCACAGAACGGCTGAGGCGGCACTTGTGGATTACCCTACAAGGTCAACGCCAAAACAACTAGGTGGACAGAGGCATTGCCGGGTGGACGCCGGCGTGTCGCACAAAGCGGGAGGGGGGAGGAGGAAAGAAAAACAACAGGAAGAAGAGGGGCGACGGCGCAGTGCGAATGTCCCCACGCAGCCCAAACGGCCGCCAAGAGGATGCAAAACAAAACGCGCAGCGGCAAGCCAGAGGGGAAGAGGGAGGGAAGCCAACGAAACGAACGAGAGCAAAAGGAAGCGAGCGAGACCGAACACAAGGAGGACACATATATATATATATGTACATATATATACACCCAAATACTGACCATTATACTTCTAAGGCGCGGACGCTGGAAGCTCGCTGAGTAACAGGAGCCCGTCCGGCGGGCACGCCCGCAACATGCACGCGCACACTGAACGACTAAAAACAAAAGCCTGCGGGGAGGAGGACCCGAGGACACGAGGCGGCGCGCTGCAGCCAGCCAGGCTAGCCAGAGGCGGCAGGGGAGGCACAAACCTCCGCAGACCTCACCCGAGGTCAGTGACGACGAAGGACACCGGCGTAGTCGCTGGCGTTGATGCTGGCGTCGGTGCTGGTGTCGGTGCTGCGCCAGCGTAGGTGCAGATGCTGGTGATGACCTCGGTGCTGGTGTGAGCGCTGGTGCTACTGCTGGCGCAAATGCCGATATTCACGTTGGCGTCAGTGTTGGCGCCGTCGCAGGTGTAGACGCTGGCGTTGGTGCCACTGCAATCGCTCGCTCGCATGCTGGCGTCGGGGCTGGTGTAGGCGTCAGCGTTCATGCTGGAGTCGGTGATGACAGCGGTGCTGGTGTAGCCGTTGGCGCTGGTGCCAGCGCAGGCGTGGGCGTTCCTGCTGGCGTCAGTGCAGGCTTTGGCACGTGTGTAAGCGGTGGTGTTGGTGCTAGCTCGATGCAGGCATCCACGCTGGCGTCGGAGGATTAGTAGGAATCGGAGCCGAACCGCGAAGCGCGAATAACTTTGCGCCCTCGAAGGCGCCCTTGACGCCCGACCGCGTGATCGGATCGCACCTCCAATCGCTGGAACCCTCCCAGATGGGGCTGCAGCACTGCAGCCGACCGGGTCGGAGCATCGCGCCGCATCGCCGATGCATCGACGATACGGCGCGCTGGAGACGAACGGGCTCAAGATCGCGCAAGGTAGCCGGTGCATCGGCGATGCGGCCCGATCCTCCGACCCTGTCTGCTGCAGTGCAGCAACCCCGTCTGGGAGGCCTTGAATCATGCTGCCGATCGCCTCGCTCGCCAGACAAACAACGAACCAATGGCCCGATGGCCGCGATCGCGCGACCTCGCAGGTCACCGTGATCGGCGGCTTCAGATCACGCGACCAGCAGACACTTGAGGTCCGAACCCTGACCTGAGGCGTCACGCTGATGTGGCTGGCGCCCGCGTCACTCCGGGGGCTCCTGGGGCTGCACCCGCGCACACCAGGGGGGGGGGGGCAGGAGTACCAGTTACACCTGGCACAGGGCCAGGGCTGATCTCTTTCTCGGGAGCGGCCAAGAGGGGGGTGTCCAAGAGGGGGGGGTGCAAATCATGACCGGCGGCATGTGCGCGGCCCAGCGGGGGGACCAGGGACGTAATGAAATAAGAAGAGGCGCCATGAGATCTGGGGAAATATCATGGCCCCCGCCATGATATGCCCCCCCCCCTAGTCATCAGCCCCCTCTTTTCCGCCCCCGACTTTCCGATCTTGCATGCGAAATGCCGAGCCTAAGCCGGGGTCGGCGACGGCCGGGGCGGACAGCGCCAAGCACCTCGCACTGCCCCGCGCGGCGCACAGCGAGGTCCACTCGGCAACCGTCTTACCAGATCTTGTGCCTCGGCTGCCGTCGCCGCCGCTAAGCCTCGTCCCTAACCCACACAAGAGGAGGACCGAGGGCAGGCGGCGGAGGTGGGGAAAGCAGGAAGCAAAGAAGGAGGACGAGGAGGAAGACGGGCTCACGGCCGCCCTGGGCGTTTTGTTGCCCAGCTCCCAAAGCCCAGACCTTCGACGTCGTGTTTTGGCCTGTCCGTGGGCACCAGCGCGCTCTCGACTCCTTCTGGGGCCCTTCCACATCCTGGCTTTCTCTCTGATCGCTCCTGCACAGGAAGATCCCACCCGCCCTCCTGGCGTAGGTAGTCTAACAAGTTCTTCCTTCCCTTTTCCAAGACCCCTCGTCCCCTTCGGGGAGGGGTACCCTCCCCCCCTTCCCTGAGGTGTATGGGGAAGTTCCGCGAGATGTTTCCAAATGCTCCCAGAGCCCCCTCAGGACTTCCCAGAAGGCCAATGTCCTTTCAACACCGGGCGAAGACTAATGATTTGTCCCTTCTCTTCTGTTTGCTTACGACGCGGCCTGTAAGCCTCAAGAGGGCCCTAAGAGGAGCCAAACATGCCCTCATGACGGCCCCAGGACCTGCATGGCACCAGGTTGGGGAGGGGCATCGAGAGCCCTCCATCCTTGTCGTCGACGCCTTCTAGGATGGCCCCGAGATGCCCTCGAAGGCTCCCCAGAGCCCCCCCGAGAGGCAAGAAAGCCCCCATCCCCCCAACACAAGCCCCAGGAGGACCCCTAACAGCCTCCAACATACACGTCGTTCATTTCTAATCGTGCTCATTTCTAATTGTGCTCGTTTCTAATTGTTCCTGGCCCACTAGTGGCAAGGAAGAGGCCCAGGATTGAACACGTAGAAATGAAAGGATCTTGCCCCCCCAAAAAATCAAGAACTTTCGAATTCGCCGGCCCAACGGGCCAGAGGCGTGCTAAGATCTCCGGTAACTTGTTAACAATATTTCTAGTTCGCGCGCGCGGAGCGGCCCCTGGGGGCCCCCGGACGAAAAGTACCCCGGCAAGGTCCCGAGAGAAGCCCGGGAGAAGCCACCAGACCACTCCAGGGGAGGGTATTTTTCGACACCCCTCACGAGGATCGTGGCCTCCGAGGGGGGAGCCGCAATCGACTACCCCCAAGAGCCCCCCAAGAGGCCCTGGGGGCCTCCAAAACGCCGCCAAGGAGCCCCAAGAGACTCCCAAGAGGTCCCCAAGAGGCCCCCAAGAGGCCCTAAAGAGGGCTCCAGGGCCGGCGGCATGAGCGAAGCGATTAAATAATTAGAATGAACAATGTGTAGCCCCGAGAGGGCCCAAAGAGGGCCGCGAGAGACCCCCAAGAAGATCCTGAGAGGGCCTCCAGAAGACCCCAAGACGGCTGCCAGAGTCTTCGTGCGTCGTCCTCCTCCAACTCCTCGTTTTAGTCCTCCTCCTCCTCCTCCTCCTCCTCGTCCCCGCCACGGGTCTGTTCAGGCAGATCCCGAACTCGCTTCACTGCATGCCCCTTTATGCTGCCCTTATCAAGGCAACTCGCCTGGTCATCGTTTCTGAATGGGTTGGTGGGGATGTGCGAAGCGTCAAGAGCTGTCCCTGGAAGCAGAAGCGCGGGACAATAATTGAGCAGGGACCGACAATCCCGACAATAATTGAACAGGCGAGCTAGGACGCTTCGCCACTGCTCGGAATAAAACCAGCATTGACCAAGCCACGTCGTCGGGACCGAAACCGACGGACCTGGACCCGCAAAAACGACGGCCGCGACGCCCTCGCGCGAACCGAAGACGGCCAATCCCTCCACATCGACGCGTCAGGGTAGGAGGTCTATCCACCTCCGAAGCTGCCCCTGGAAGCAGAAGCGCGGGACCACAACGCCAGCACTGACCGCACCACGCCGTCGGAGGTCTGGGGCCATCGGCGGCCCACCCGGTGCCTTTCGAGCGCGGCCCCAAGTCGCTCTCGCGACGCGGCTTGTGCCGCCTAGGCGGGGGGGAGCGGTCTTTGCCGCGACTGCGGCGCGCGGCGGGCCCACCCGGTGCCCCGCCCTCCCCCCCCCCCCCCAGCGGGCACGGCCTCCGCTGCGAGGCCCGGGCGCTCCCAGGGGCAGCAGCCCGGCGGGGCACCCTTAATTAAGAGAGGCCCGCCGGAGAGGGCCCCTCCGGGAGGGCGGGAGCCCACGAGGGCTTCCCAACAGGGCCTCGCTGAAGTCGGGCCTGTCCCCCCTTATACAGGAGGATTTGTGACGAAAAATTGAAAAACAGTTAAACCATGCCCCGAAATCGCCCAAGCATACGCAAAAAACAATCCCCAGACTAATTTTGACTAGTTTGGAAGACTCCTCCTGTAGAGGGACACGCCCGACTTACGGCTTCGCAAGAGAGCTTCTCACGAGGGCTTTCCAAGAGGGCCCCAGAAAGCGCCCTGGGTGGCTTCCGGAGAAGCCCCTATGCATGCGAGCGCAGCCCAGGAACATCCCACGATGTTCCAAGGGACGATACTTGCTGACCTCCAGAGGGCCGCAGAGAGCCTCTGAGAACCGCCGAGGGCCCTTGGGGACCCCCCCGGCAGCGGCCTGAAGCCGCCGAACACATCGAAGAGCCATGAGTCCGCGGCGAGATTTCGGGGCGAACCCAGCCGTGGCCACGAGGGTGTCCCAGGAGCCTGCCAACATGTCAAAACAGGCAGAGTCCTCCTCCCTCTACACCTCTCCCATCCTGCTCCTCCTACTCCCCCTCCTCCTCCTCCTCCTCCTCCTCCTCCTCCTCCTCCCTCCTCCTCCTCCTCCTCCTCCTCCTCCGCCTCCTCCTCCTCCTCCTCCTCCTCCTCCTCCTCCTCCTCCCCTCTCTCCATCCTTCCCTTCCTTCTGTCCTCCCCAAGGCGTGGAGAAGTTCGGGACAGGCGTCCTGCCGCCCGTCTCGCCGCCTCCTCGCTCCGACTGGGGCATCTCGCCATCGGGGGAACGGGGCACGGCCGGCCCTCCGCGCCGGCCGCCCGGGGGGTGGGCGGCCGGGGCCTCCTCTCGGGCCCGAGCGCGGCCGCGGAGGGAGGGGGCAAGGGGAAGGTGAGGAGGAGGCGGGGTGGGCCCGAAGGGGAGGCGAGGAGGAGGAGGAGGAGGAGGAGGAGGAAGAGGAGGAGGAGGCGGAGGAGGTGGAGGAGGAGGAGGAGGAGGAGGAGGAGGAGGAGGAGGAGGAAAGGGGAGGGGGAAGGAGGCAGGGATGGAGGGAGGGGGAGGGGGAGACAAGGAGGGCGGGGGTGAGAGAAGTGGGAGGGAGCAGGGAGGGAGGAGTGGAATAATCAGCACTGGAAGCATCGCGGAGGTTCCGCGGGGACCCACGACGCTCGAGCCAAAGAGCTCCTCCTTGCTCCTCCTTGCCTCCCCTCCCCTCCCTGCTCCTCGCTGATTCCCCTTCCAGGCCTCGCCTGCCTGCCCCTCCCCACTCCTCCCTCTCCTCTCCCTTGAGGGGAGCGGCAGGACCCCTCGGGTCTGGAGATCGAGCCTACCCCCCCGCCCCCCGCTGGAGAGGGGCTCCTCTCACTTCCCTGACACCCCGCCCTCGCATCGCTGGATCGCAACGAGCAACAGCGACGAAGAGGCATGCCTGCCTACTGGTCCGGTGGACGCCCCCCACGCCTTGGCTTCGACCCCGCCCTCCAATCGGCTCGTCCTGCCTCGTGCCGCCGCGGCCGGTGCGGGCGGGCGCTCGCGGCATCTTCTGGAGCAGGCCGCCCCGGCGGGCAGCGTGGCGGCGCGCGCCGATGGCTCGCTCCCCGCGGGGAAGGTCGTGCCCCGGGTGGCCTGCGGGTGCCTTGGCCCGTCGGCGGCGGCGGGACACTCCGCCGATCTGCAGTCAACCAGCACAGTGAGGATACGCGATAGGGGTGCAAGGGCCTTGGACGCCCGATGGACCGAGGAGGCAAGGATGCAAGGGTGCCCTTGGGAGGGTTGCCCATCCTTGCGATGCGGGTTACCTGTACGTTCGAACCCGGGACCGGGAGTACCTTGCTGCTGGTAAGCTGGCGGGCTAGAGTGCGAACGACACTGATACGAATCACGCAGTGTCAACACAACGCAACCATCCGCATCTCTGCACGCGTTCGTCCGTGCTCAGGCTCTTCGGCTGCTCACCGAGCCGAAACATTATTTGCTCAAACATTGTGAACACTGGACTCGTGCATGTCATCCGAAAACTATCTCTGAATTATCGACTGGAGTCGTGTCCACAGGACATGCGAATCCAACACCCACGATTGATTCTCCGGCATCCGGATAATCTGAACATGCGGAAGGCCGTGCGCCTTGTTGGTGGGGGTCGCACGCGGGTGTACTGGAGGCAGCTAGGGGCAGGCATCCTTAACGCAGTACTTGCAAGGGCCGCGACGCTACAGAGACGCAGCTGCGGCAGCATGATCAAATTGTTTGTCGAGCTCAGTCTGGGTCGGGTGGTCCTGAGGATCTAGCAGCATGGTGTAGTAGGTGATTGTCTGAACTTTCGTGTGTTGCGTGGGCTCTTTCGGTGACGCCTTGTACTTCGAGCCGCGCGGAAGGTCGAAATGATGTGCGATCGTGTCGGCCACGTGGGGCGTCGGTGTAGGTGGAGGTGCCTGCGGATGAACGTGTAGATGTGCTGCCGTCGAGACCGCCTCGTGCGGCAACGTGAGGCCCCCGCGCTCCGAAATATTTGTGTTCATCGGAGGTGGACGTTGCTGCGCTGCCCGCCGTGCTTGTCATGCTGAAGGCTATTGATGCCTTCCTTCTCCATTCTCGCCCTCCTCGTCCCTGTCCTCGTCCTCGCCCTCCCCAGTGTGCCACAAAGTCCCCCGCTCGAGCCACATGTCGGGTGACGTCGACCGCCCACCTGCACCGGTCATGGCTGGAGCAGCCCTGGGCGCAGGATTGGCCGGGCTGGGATGAGTGGTGCCGAATAGTTGGCGTCCCCTGCTCAAGGGCCTGGCGCACCGCTGCGAAACCATGGCCTCGAAGTAGCTGCGATTCAGCAGGGCGGCGCCATGCATCTCACCCCTTGCCCCACAAGCCTCGTGACCGCATGAGGACGCTAGCTTCACGTGGTGCTCATCCCCTCCTCCTCCCCCTCCTCCTCCTCCTCCTCCTCCTCCTCCTCCTCCTCCTCCTCCCCCTCCTCCCCTCCTCCCCCCTCCTCCTCCTCCTCCTCCTCCTCCTCCTCCTCCCTCCTCCCTCCTCCTCCTCCTCCCCCTCCTCCTCCTCCTTGTCCTCCTCCACCTCCTCCTCCTCCTCCTCCTCGCCGCTCCCTGGGGGGCCCCCCGCCCCTGGTCGTGGGGGCCTGCGGCCTGCTGCGCCGCGGTGCTCATCCCCTGCTCCTTCCCCTCCTCCTCCTCCTCCTGCTGTTTCTGTTTCTGCTTCGACGCCTTAGGACACGACAGTGCCAGGCCGACAAACGACTGCAGGAGTGCGGCACCTACCTCAGCTGCGTGATAAAATCAAGGAAGAAGCCCACGCAAGAGTCAACAGCAATCAACTCCGCCACAAATGATGACACTGCGGCACTATGGTACAACCCAGCCATTGCAATAGTCTGTTTGCCGGTCATCCAGTGCGCCTCAATGATCCATGCTGACGCGGAACAAGCAGAACCGCGTCGACCGCCGTCGCAGTGGATGACGAAGTTGGCCTCTGTGTAAAGCGAGTCGTCCGCTATTTGGAAGACCTTCTGCCAAGAGGTCGACATATCCATTGTCACGTTCGCCAAATAGTCGGCCCGCTGGTTAAACTCCCGTTTCCTCCACAAGATGGGGTCCAAGTGAGACCGGTATGGCAAACTGTCTAATAAAATGAGCTTCGCCAGCCGACTTGAGATCTGGCTGAAAACTGGGACGTGCTGCTCCACCGTCGGCAACGGCATGTCGTGACCCATTAAGATGTCTACGACTGGCTTGCAATCACATGCGATAACAAATCTTCCTCGCGCCGTGTCCCAGTCGAAGGGCTTGTCCGTGAATCCCGGCATGGCGTGCTCCTCCTCCTCCTCCTCCTCCTCCTTCTTTCCTCCTCCTCCTCCTCCCCCTCCTCCTCCTCCTCTTCCTCCTCCTCCTCCTCCTCCTCCTCCTCCTCCTCCTCCCCCTCCTCCTCCTCCTCCTCCAGCTTCTTTCCTCCTCCCCTATCCTCAAAAGAAGCAGGTCGCCTTAACGTTTCTCCAGGAGCGCTTGCCATCCTCGAAGCCCTTGGTGCGGCCAGGGCTCAGCACGCTCGAACGGTCGAATGAGGAGGGGGGGGTGGGGGGCAAGCGGAGAGGGAGGATCCGCAAAACCCTCTGGACCACGGCCCCCCTCGGAGACAGGAGTGCGGATCCACTCGGCTATCCCCCTCCGGCTAGGGTGTGAGGGATTCTGCAGTATGTGGGGGTATTCTCCTCTACTTCCTCCTCCTCCTCCTCCTCCTCCTCCTCCTCTTCCTCCTCCTCCTAAGCCTCCACCTGAGCCTCCTCCTTATCCTCATCGTCCATTCTCCTCATCCATCTACTCGTTCTGCTCGTCCTCCTCCTCTCCCCCTATCCTCGTCGTCCTCTCCCCTTTCGCCTCCTCACCCTCGTGCGCCTGCTCCTCCTCCACCCTCGCGATCCTGCTCCTCCTGCTGCTTCTCCTCTTCTGAAGGGGCCCAGGGACACAACAAACAAATACACACAGACCCCAGAATTCCCGTTTCCCTCCCACTCCTTATATTTTCTCACATGTCTGGGGAATCGACGATTATTTGTGTCTGTGTGTTTTTCCCCCTCCTGATCTTCTTCTTCTTCTTCTTCTTCTTCCTCCTCCTCCTCCTCCACCCGTCGTCCTTATAAGCAACCTTCCCTCGTCGCACCACCCGGCATGACGCAGGGCGAGATGAGCGTTGTGCCTGGGACTTCCCCATCCTCTATCCTAAAGCTTGAGACGTCCAACACTTGCACGAATGGTGTGCGCATGGTTGTTCAACACATGGCTTTGGCCGTAGCGCGGCGCACATTCATAGTGAATGTTCCCAGAAGTCGCACGGATAGCGCAGGTGGCTTTGAATATGTGGCTCTCGCCTTAGCGCTGCACGCATGCCCCTGATAAGATTGCAGCAAATATTACACGGATGGAGGGTCGTCTCTGTTCAACAGGTGGCTCTCTCCTTCACGCCAAGCATGTTCGTCTTGAGCAGTTTTCGAAAGCAACGCGGATGGAGGGCGGTTCGTCTTCACGATGTGGTTCTCGAGTTAGCGCCGCGCATATTCGTCTGGCCAAGCTCCGACGGTTGCACGGATGGAGGGCAGGCCGTTTTCGGAATGTGGCACTCGCCGTCTTGCTGCGCAAGTTCGCCCTGCCGCCAGCTACTCTGACGGAGGGCGTGCTGTTTTCTAAAAGCGCGTGAGTGTCGCACAGCAGATCCTCATGCGTTGTGTTCCTGAAGCTTGCAATGTCCAGCGGCTGCACCAATCGAGCGAGTCCCCTGTTCAAATCAAGTCATCTTATGAGGCCCCGCTGCGATTTTGAATCCGTCGTCAAATACTGATGGGTCGGGAATCTTCCGACCCGGGTCAATCCAGACCCAGGTCAGTCGGGCCTTGCAGGATCCTGTAAGATCCTGCGCCCAAACCCGGGTCAATGCGAAGGATCCTGCAAGATCCTGCAGGATCCTGCACCCAAACCCGGATCGATGCGACCCTGGCCCCACAGGATCCTGCAAGATCGGGCGCTGTGGCTGACCCCCGTTTGCATTGACCCCCGTCTCGAGGCTCCCGAATGGGACTTTCAGCAAAAAGCCGGTGCACAGCCATTCCTTTCCAAAGCCGTGCCTTCGCTCTGGCGCCGCATGAGCTCGTGCTGAAGCTGCTGCACTCTGCACGGGGGGAGCCAAAGTCCCTCTCCTAACTGGTGCGTGCTTCAGCACTGTGCGGTCGAGTATGCGTAGGATCGCTGACGCGCAAGACCAAACCACACAAGGTTCATACCTTGCATGTCCATGGCGCAGTCGTGTTTCCACCGCGCCTTCGCCACAATGAGCGTACAGA